AATTCTGTTACAGCAGCCATATTTGTGCCAATGGGCGACCATATTGTGCCACCTCTAACCAAGGACTGCCCCAACAACTACCTAGGTACAGAATCTTGAGAACAAGTTTGAAAGAAAGAACAAATTTAAACATTGCAGTAATTATAGTATAGCATAAAACATACAAGTAAGGTTAAAAGTTACATATTGCAGACCTTTTTAGTTTTACGTAGAAAATAAAGTCCAAATATTACATTCTTTCTTAAGTGCTTAGTCACAATGGCATCACACTTCAACGAATCACCTCGGGATTGGAGGTCCTTGCTGAGGCTACGCCAAGACCACCAGTCGTGGATTTTATACTTGTGGATTTCTAAAGGTCCTAGTTTAGTTGGAGAATTAATGGTTTGCCACTGTTAGGGTAGAAGTTGGTCTGGAAAACAACATGGATCACCATTGCTGTGGAGTCATGTGATGTTGGGAATGCCTTGAACTATACATTGGGTCTTTCAGTAATGAAGCTCGCTCAACCTTGGTATAACCTAAGCTCACTGGACTGATGTCATCAAATGAAATATGGGGTAGGCGGGCTCAGCGGGGGTATTGAAGATATGTACTTTCTCTCACTTGAACTCTCATGTAAAGTGGGAGGTGGGTTTCTAAATTATGAATTGCAAAAACAAATGTGGAGGCGATGAGCTCATCCTGGTAGAAACATATATCAGATTGCTCCTCAAGTGACTTGAGGTTAAGGCCAATGTCTGAACCATTCACAAAACTACCTCAATTGGCATTTCTAATTTCTGCATACGTGGTATTTAAATTACATTTAATAATAACTTAGTGAATAAGAAACTGTGTTGCAACCTGACCACAGATGAGTATAGACTGTGTGAATGGGAGTATCGGTTTGATGTTAATGCTCAGCAGGTGGCTAAGAGGAGCTGGAACTACAGGTGACAATAAGAAAACATTTGGCTGTCAAAGAACTGAAGACTGACAGTATGAGTTTCACAAATCATTCAACTTAACTTTTATGAGAAGGGGAATAGATCTTTGATCATTAAAAAAAACTTGCATTTTGGATTATATATCACAACCTTATGTCTCTGAAGTGCTTTACACTCAATGAAGGACTTTGTGAAATGTAATCAGTATTGTAGTAGTGTATGCAGGCTCATTTTCTGAAAGTTCTCGATTCCTGTACTTGGTCTTCATATGTTTCAAGCATATATCCAGCTGATCGTCATTGTTCTGAAGGATGGCCATGTGGGTGAGGTCAGAACTGTTACCACCAGTAGAACTAACTTCCAACATGAGACTGCACCTTTGATAGAGAAGGGGAGAGAACCACTTACAGTTTTACAATTTGTGTGTTATTTTTATGTGAAGGCAACTTAATTTTGGTGGAAGGCAAACTCGTTTTTGAGTTTGAGTCAGAACGTTTTAACACTATTGTGACTTCCATGTCTTTGTTGTGATATTTTGACTCGGGAATATACAGGAGGGTACCAATAGAAACGTGGGAAAAAATAAGCTCAGGAAATTTGCACTGTGGATCACGTAATAGTGCAAACACAATGAGATCTATACTATTCCTTTCTTTCCTGGATGAGAGAGGTAAAGTGATATTTTGCATTTATTTTGGGTGGGGTTATGAAAAAATAGCCATTGTCTTACTGAACTTTCATTTGCTTGAGATAGTAGGAACTGCAGATGCTGGAGAATCCGAGACAACAAGGTGCAGGGCTGGATGAACACAGCAGGCCAAGCAGCATCATAGGAGCAGAGAGGCTGACGTTTCGGGCCTAGACCCTTCATCAGAA